GGCCATAATGACGCAAAGCCATAACTTGCGGGAAAATTTTCGGCCCATATCAATTTTGGTACCAATCTCTTTAGCTCGATGAGAGAGAATCGTTTAATACTAAATTTGTTAAGATTCGCAAATCTTGAATCAAGTTTTAGGGCTTTGCGCCGTTATGGCTGCGCGCCCGTTCGGGCTATACCCCCGGTTTTTTCATTGCAATTAAATTGTTTTGATAATTTATTTTCTCATTTATTTATTTTGGTTGATTAAAGATTGCCAATTTATTTTTAACTTTTTTAAATGTTTTTACAAACATGATTGGACTTTTCCGTATTGTACCTTACCCTTAGAGTAAAAAACTGCTACCGAGCTGTAGTTTTTGAATGATATAAGTGTTGTGTAGTAGTGACACTACTATAAAAGCCACTATTTGCGTCAGTCTAATTGGATCATACTAGCCCGGCTAGTCCCTGATCTCCTTCGTCTGTTCCAGCTCATCCCTTCGCCTACACATTGTTATTTCTATATTAGATAAATTGTTAAAATATTGCACGTCGACATTCGTACAACCCTCGGACATAACAATAAGATTTAATTGGATTAGGTAAAGCATAGAAAAGTTATATTCAATCAAATGATCCCCCTAATGACCCCGCCCCTTTTGTTTTTTTGACAAATTTAAAGATTTTGCCCTGATTGGCGAAATATGGTTTTGGCAAGATATGGGTTTATAGCCTTATTGGCAAGATATGAGGAAGCCCTCCAATTTATTTTTACTTATTTAAATGATGTAAAAATTTGTTTTTTTTTAATTTTCTAGTGTTTTATTTAAATTTTCTTCAAGAAAAATGTTTTATTCTCTGTCAACAAAGATTTTTAAACGTCTCAGCTTTCAACAATTACATTCAATCAAATGAACGAATGTTTATTGCTGCGATTTTGTTAAATGTGAAGGGAAACTTGATAAGGGGAAATTTCATATGATTTCTCTCGTAAAACTTATTTTAATTAATTAAAAAACCTTTCTATTAAGGAACGTACCGATCAATTTACTAGTGACCCGCAGAAATTGATTATACCCAAAGCTGAAAATTTTGACTTTCAATTAAATGAGAAACTTGAAGAGAAGGTATTTAAATTTTTTAAAGCCAAAATTTCAGGCTAGTGTAGTTTACACCCCATGAGCCCCGCCCCTTTTTCCTCTTTTCCTTTTCTCACCAAAAGTGGTTAAAGATGACGACATAGAACAGTATAATTATTTTCTTAAAAATATTGAGAATTAATAACAACAAAGCGGAGCGTTGGTTATCTAAATTTAGAAAAATTTTCGTAAATGAAACCCCTTCATTGTTTCTTATTATTTTTTATTTCCTTCTAATTTCTTTTAAATTTTTAGACATTTCACAATTACAAGTGAACTATTTGGCTGAAATTAACATTGCAAATCAGTTATTTAAAAAAAAGTAGTAACCAACATTTAAAGGAATTCAAATCTCTAAATAATAATCCTAATAATTTCTTTTTCTTTTAAATTAAACTTAATATCATTCAAGCTTTAATTTATTGTTAATTTAACAATTTTTATTTTTCATATTCTTTACAATGATTAATTTTACGATTTTTTTAGTTTTGAATATTTACATTGCCAAATAAATTTAAAAAAAAGAAAATGTCTCGAAAAATAAATTTTTTAATATTAATTGAACTTACGGTACTTTACGGTTTTGCCACACCCTCCCCATATATTCGCAAGATATTTTTCTTTTTACATAATGGTCAGACTTTCTCCTCCCCGCAATTTTGCTTAAGTTTCCCTATGGCATGTTCAATAAGAGAAAAGATTAATTTTCACTAAAATTGCTAAATTTATATGGGTAATGGATCATTTCTTAATTAATGTTTCTCATTGAATAGGTAAAATTAAGTGAAATTGAGGAGAGGGGAAAGTCTGATCATTCTATATATAAAAAGAAAAATATTTTGCGAATATATGGGGATGGTGTGGCAAAACCGAAAAGTTGGAATTACTCTTTCTCAAACAGGTGTACTGACACGTACAGCTTTGGAAGTTGCTTTTGCTAATTCTCTCTTAAAATATAAAAATGAAAATCTTGGTTTTGATCAAACTTCAGAACAATCATATATTATTGTCAAGTAATTTTCTGCTTCTTAAACAATATTATAATTTGTCTTTAGTTTTGATAAAAATGTAAAAAATTGGTTGTTGGTGAGGAAATTTAATTTTGAGAAGTCTAATCTTTCTCTCTTTTTCAGATAGCATTCTTTGCTGCATGGAGGGATTTAGCCAAAATAAAATAAGCTCAGTGATCTTACAAAAGTAACTCTGACCTCACAAAGGCTAAAAATGTTTACGTTTTTGCAGCTTAAACTTCCCAAGGACATCATTGCACAACAGCGAGATACTTCGCTTCCCAAAAGTTTCTTCCCAAAAAATCATCCATTGGACTTGGATCTTCTCTGGTCTGACCCTAATGTGTTTTGATTTGCGGAGCAATTCAACTGAGTCCCGGCCCTATACCTCAAGAATTGGTGGATAATTTTTTGCGTTCTTGGTACCAATAGAAAGAGTATAAAATGGGCTATATGAACAAAAAATTAAAATTTTCGATTGATTGATAAAAAATTATAATCAAAAAAACTAGGGTCCGGGACTCAGTTGAGGTGTACTCTTTGATTTGTAATGATTTAAACCACGTTTTGCCATTTAAGGGTGATGTAGATGGGTTTGAGTATAATGAAGCTCGACAAAGTTCCTTTTGGTTTGGTCCACAAGAGGTTTATTCGACTTGTAAGAAGCTCGGTATTAAACTCATTGTGCGAGCTTTTTTGCAGGAATGGATACTTTGTTTGGGGCGACTGACTATGTTGTGAAGGTCTTAATAACTAAAAGCTTTGTAGTTTAAATTAATTTTTAGGGAAGTTTTGCCGGTATTCTACATTTACAATTGGGCAATGTTCAAGACAAGAAAGGCAAACCGACTGAGAAAAAAGAAATTCAGGCTGGCATTATTATCTTCCGTCCTGCTACAAAAGAAACTAAGGGAAAGAAAAAGTTCATAGTGGAGTTTGAGAATTTCCCGGAAGCTGAGGAGGATGAGGAAACTCAACTTGAGATACTTGGAAAGGTAGATATTTTTGATTATGGACTATTTGAGATCCAGGATCTCTGCTGTGGTTTTAGCTTAGAAAAGGAAATCTCGGTGTACTATCCTGCTCCTTAAAAATTTCAAGTGTTGCCTTACATTTTTAAATTTAAGCATTTTAATTTTTTCCTCTTTAAGATGCCAAAGGAGGAAGAAATGAGGGGGTCGATTTAAGACTGATTGTGTTAAAATGTAGGAGGATCACAGATTATAAACTATACCTGTGGTCCCTAGAAAAAAAGGAAAAGGGTGCTCTTTCGATATTTTTGAAGTTTGAGTCCGAATCTGAGCTTAGATTTGGTTTCATTCGAACTCCGCACCGAATTCAGGGTAAAAATTAGAAATTTAGGTCTATTCTGAATGCTCTCTTCGAGCTGAATTGAACGGTATCAAAATTATTGTTTCGAAATCTAGACAAAGTTATGTTCATTATGTGCTAAAATTTTCACTAAACACCTAAATTTATTTTGATTAAATCTTTAACATAAAATCTGAAACGTTGCTTTTTAGGAAACGTGCCAGAATTTTGTTATATTGAGAAACATTTATTCGGTACTTGTGGGTTATCTCATACCGGTTTTTGCGGATAAATTTATCCGTACATTTTTTTGTCTTTTTTTCTTCCTAGGTTTCACTCAATTTTCACTGTGGCAAATTTAATAAGAAACAGATCAAAAAAATTTTCCCTCCCTCTATTTAATAAAACACACCAACAAAGAAAAGATTAGCCTACGTTGACATAGTCCCAATTGCAGAAGTTGAAGTTAATAAGCTCATAGGTAAAATAGAAAATCAGTTATTTACGTGTATATCGTGTATTTATGTCTAAAAATAATCCTTATTTTTAATGTGTCTCATTGAATTTGCCACAGGGATAATTGAGTGAAACTGAGGAAAAAAAGACTGACCATTCTTTACAGAAATGTCCGTATAAATTTGTCCGCAAAAACCGGTAGAGTCAGGAAACAAATCCTATGTTGTTTTACTCAAACCAAATTATATGGTCACATTTGGTCAAGGTTCGCATCAGGGTTGACCGGAATAAAATTTTATTTCGAATCGAAACAAAATAAAAAATTTTCTATTTCGCTCTGAACCGAAACGAAATAAAATTTATGTTTCGTTCCGAATCGAAACGAAATTTCGGTCATCCCTGGTTCGCATCTTGATTATTCAATTGATGATGAAGTTACAATTTATACACACAGTGGTTTTAATCAATACAAAACAAATGTAATATATGTGTCGAGACGTTTTGATTTTGTTATTCTATTATAAAATCAATTAAAAATGTCCACCTATGAAATTCAATCCAATTATTGGAACAAACATTGCTTTAATTGGTTACGGCAACGATCTTAAATGTCTTTCATATAGGGATGGAATATTGCATATACAAGAAAAAAACTTTCTCGGGTTGATTAAAAATTATTTCTAAAAGTAAAAATTTAATAAATTTTAGTTGACACTGATGATTTTATTGGTCCTTTCTATTTGGGCAATTTATCAACAACATATGCAGATTCAGGAGCTGATATTTGGTCCCCAGACGGTCTAATTGGAATCAAACTTGGTTTTATCATACAAATTTTTTTAAATTTTTTAAAATTTTATTTTAAAGATGATGATAAGTATTTGAAGAAATTTGTTGGCGTTTAAATTTTTGGTTCTATCTATATTGATCTTAAATATATTAATGATTATTTTTATATTTTTATAAATTTTTGCCTTTTTGCAACTGCTAAAAATATCTGTTAATTTTATTACGGATTTCATTTTTTCCGTTTATCGATTTTATATAAATTTCTCACATTTAATTCTAAAAAATATTTTCAACCCCAAAATATCTTCATCATGTCAAGTTTCCATTTTTCTTCAAAAGTGCTTAATTTAGTTGACACGAGACCAAAAGCTGATGAATTGAAGGTTTTTTTTATTTTTATAACGAGGGCATTTAGCTTAACTATTTTCTAGGGAGCTGTTAAATTGGATCCAAATTTGAAGGAATATTTGCAGTTTGGAGATGAATCAGTAAAGAAATCAATATTAATTAATCAATCCAATTGCTTGAATTCTACGACGTTTGTAACTTTCAGCAGGCAGGTTGTTTTGTGAACCCCCCCCCCCCCCCAATTCTAATTTTCCTTCCGACTTCTTTTTTTGAAAAAAAATTTTTTTTAATAAATTTAAAAAGTTTTTTAGTTAAATACACACTTTATTATGAGACCAACAGTTTTACCTCAAATTCTCGTTCATTTGACAGAAATGCTAGTTGGAATTTTGGGGATTTGTAGCGACTCTTCTAGCGGTTTATTTTTAATTTTTTTTTTATTTTAAGAAATTTTTTTTTAAATTTAAGTTGCTCGCCGTTTTGGCCTTTCAAAAGTTCCTCGTTTCTTTCGTTTAGTTCTTCAATTAGAACGGCCTTTCTACGATTTATTTAGAATTCTTGTTGAGCTGTTTTGTCGAACATGGAAGGATATGAATGCAAAGTTTGGAATTTTTTATTTTTGGGAATTATGGGATGAAATGTCTTTTTTTGTTTTTGAGAGTTTTTAATTTAATTTTTGTATATTGAAAAATTTTAGTGGGGAGGGGAGCCCAAATTTCTTTAGGCATTTTTTGTGAAGATTTTTTTGTTTTTTTTTTAATTTTTTATTAAAAAATAGTAACCTCGGAATTCTCATGTTCCTTTTCTCTTTTAAGTTAATTTTCAAAATTTACCCAAAAATGTTCTTTTTTACAAAAATTTTACAAATTAGGTAATTTTAAAATTTTTTTCAAAGGTTTGATGAAATTAACAAAGACCAATTTGAACGTTCGCTTTTTGAAAATCCAAATTCATTGGAACAATTAGAAATTGAAATGCTTCGCAAACGATTTTCTTATTTCAACATGCAAAAGGTTGGATTCTTTTTATTTTAAAATTTACGAGGTTTTCGACAATGGACCTCGTTAAAAATAAATTTACTAATGTAAATATACCTCAACTTAAGAAATTTTTTTTTGGAATTTTTGGCTAGACATTGAGTGGAATATCCCTTGTTTAAACGATACCACTGATTTAGAATTGAAGGAAGACTTAGTTTTTGGAATTTTTTTGGTGTTTTAAGGCAACGAATTTGGGTCTTTTGAATCTTCCAATTCTCCAGAATTACCTTCTCATGAATTTTGTGATATCGAAAAACCATAGGGGGGAGTAAGCACATTTTTGGGGTAAAAAATTCGAATATGCAAAAAACCTCTATGGTTTTTTTTCAATCGCCTGTATCTCTGCGAGTTTTCATCTCCGGCAAAAAATTCTCACATATTTGAACTCAGCTTGGCGAAAAAATCGAATGGTATATATTTTGAGTTCCGATCTCGGTGGACCTATATTAAAGTACAGCCGCAATTCAACTGAGTCCCGGCCGAATAACTAAAGAAGCGGTGGATAATTTTTAATGGTCCTGATACCAATAGATAGAGCATTAAATGGGCTATATTTTCTCTTTTAAGTTAATTTTCAAAATTTACCCAAAAATGTTCTTTTTTTCAAAAATTTTTACAAATTAAGTAATTTTAAAATTTTTTCAAAGATTTGATGAAATCAACAAAGTTTACAATGTCGTCCAAGACCAATTTGAACGTTCGCTTTTTGAAAATCCAAATTCATTGGAACAATTAGAAATTGAAATGCTTCGCAAACGATTTTCTTATTTCAATATGCAAAAGGTTGGGGGTTTTTTATTTTAAGAGATTTTCGTCAATGAACCTCGTTATAAAATGAATTTAAGGTTCAAAAAACTCCTCCAGGACTTTTAGCAATATGTGCAATAATTGAGTATTTTATTTTTAATTAAAATTTTATTTAAAAAATATTTTTTAGTTTAACACAAAAAATCTTGCATATTTAACACAGACAAAGCCTTCATCATCCAATGAAAATCAATTAGAAGAAGAGTTAAACTGGTACTCTATCACTTGCAGCATTGGACGTTGCTTTTGCTAATTCTCTCTTAAAATATAAAAATGGAAATCTTTGTTTTGATCAAACTTCAGAACAATCATATATTATAGTCAAGTAGTTAATTGCTTCTTAACAATATTATAATTTGTCTTTAGTTTTGATGAAAATGTAAAGGCTTTATAGAACCAGCAGGAGGTTGGATTGGATCTTCTCTGGTCTGACCCCATGTGAGTTTAATTTGCGGAGCAATTCAGGGGTTGCTTTAGTATAGGTCCACAGAGATCGAAACTCAAAATATATACCATTCGATTCGTCTTGCCGAGCTAAGTTCAAATATGCAAAAATTTTCTGCCGGAGACGAAAACTCGCAGAGATACAGGCGATTGAATATCGAAGAACCATAGGAGGGAGTAAGCACATTTTTGGTGTAAAAAATTCGAATATGCAAAAAAACCCTATGGGTTTTCGATTTCTGCGAGTTTTCGTCTCCGGAAGAAAATCTTGCATATTTGAACTCAGCTTGGCGAGAAAATACAAAAGCAAGAAAAACTATTTAATATTCTATTGTATTTTTATCGTTAGGCTACTCCCCAATTGTCCACTCCCCAAATATCCGGGAGCCCATTCCTGGCCTTTCTAAGTATCGTAACTTTCAACAACAGTTTAGCATATGTTGATAGGGTCGTTTGAGTTATCAATCCTTATTTTTCCATAGATTTTGTCCTTGTTTTCGATTTTTTTTCCAGATTTAGTCTATATTTTTTTAAAGTTGCCCCGCAGTACATGACATTTAAAAAAATTTATTCACTTTTAGATAAATCTCTTGTTGGCCCTTTCAAATCAACAAAAAGTTTAAATAAGCTCAGTGATCTTACAAAGGTAACTCTGACCTCAAAAAGTCTAAAAATGTTTACTTTTTTGCAGCTTAAACTTCCCAGGGACATCATTGCACAACAGCGAGATACTTCGCTTCCCAAAAGTTTCTTCCCAGAGAATCATCCATTGGACTTGGATCTTCTCTGGTCTGACCCTAATGTGCAATGTTCAAGACAAGAAACGCAAGCCAACTGAGAAAAGACATTCAGGCAGACATTATTATCTTCCGTCCTGCTACAAAAGAAACTAAAGAAAAGAAAAAATTCATCGAGGAGTTTGAGAATTTCCCAGAAGCTGAGGAGGATGAGGAAACTCAACTTGAGATACTTGGAAAGGTAGAGACTTTTGATTAAAAGTTTATGGCCTATTTGAGATCCAGAATCTTTGTTTTTAGCTTAGAATATCAATGGATTTAGTGTGAAATGAGGCAGACTCGCCCCGGTGGACTGACCTGCTTTTTAGAAGTTATAAGGGGGTCAACCCAAAAGACCTACACCCAGAAGACCTGCTCCTAAAAGATTTACTGACCCAAAAGACCAACGCCCAAAAGACCTATAGACCCAATTTGAAAGGAAATATCAAAAGGGAATATAGAAGGATTTGGAGGGATTAAGGGAATATCAATGGATTTAGTGTGATTGAAGGTGATAGCAATATCTACCAACCCAGAGATAGGGTACATATACTCAAAATACAGCACTATTGGTTCTAAAATACATATCGAGTACTTATCTTCATATAGCTGGATATTTATCCTCCTTAATCCCTCTAAATCACACGAGATTCGTTTTAAAAAATTTGTAGGTCTTTTGGGTCAATAGGTCTTTTGGGTTTAGGTCTTTTGGGGTGGACTAATTATAAGCGTTGCCTTACTTTTTAACTTTAGCAATTTTAATTTTTTCCTCTTTAAGATGCCAATGGGGGAAGAAAATAAGTGAGTCGATGCAAGACTGATTGTGTTAAAATGCAAAACAGGATTTGTTTCCTGTTTCTTCATTGATGTAGAATAAATATTTCTCGATTAAAGAAAATTCTGGAACGTTTCCTAAATTTTAAGAAAAATAAATTTTGGTATTTAGTGAATAACATGAATCCTTAACATAAAATCTTTGAAACGTTGCTTTTGGGGAATCGTTCAGAATTTTCTTTTATCGAGAAATATTTATTCTACATCAAAGAAGAAACAGGAAGCAAATCCTGCGTTGTTTTACTCAAAATTATATAGCCACATTTGTCATGGGTCGGCGCAGGGATGACCGAAATAAAAATTTTATTTCGAATTGAAACAAAATAAAAAATTTTTTATTTCGTTTCTGAGCGAAACGAAATAAAGTAAAAATTTAAAAAATATTTTTCAGTTCATAAAAGCTTTTAATCGATATTTAAATGATATCACTCCAAATCCTCTGATATCGCTCAATATCACAGAGAAATAGTGTAGCAATCTCGATTAATGCCACAAGACTCACCAAAATCCCTGTTAATGGTTAAATCCTTTCTTTGATTCATAATCCATCTATGTCCCTCAATTAAAATCAATTAAGGCGTGGTATATAAAGGAGACTCAATCATGCCGGGCTCAATCGCGCTGATAAACTCGTGTGGACTCAACTGAACTGTGCAAAAATAATTTATTTTGGTTGAAAAAATTCGGAAAATTGACCAAAATCCCACAAAATTTCCCAAAAATTTTGAAATTTTTTACAAAAATTTCCGTTATTAGTGGTGTATTTTTATTCCTTTCGTCCGCGAAAATTTTTTTATTTCGCTCCGAAACGAAACGAAATTTCGGTCATCCCTGGTACGTATCTTGAATATTCAATTGGTGATGAAGTTACAATCTATACACATAATGGTTTTAATCAATACAAAACAAATGTAATATATGTGTCGAGACGTTTTGATTTTGTTATTCTGAAATCAAATAAAAATGTCCTTAAAATTAAAAAGGTTAAAATTAAAAATTTACTTAAAATTAAAAATCAATTAAAAAGGCCCGCCTATGAAATACAATCCAACATTTGGAACAAACATTGCTTTGATTGGTTACGGCAACGATCTTGAATGTCTTTCATATAGGAATGGAATACTGCATATCAAGAAAAACAAACTTTCTCGGGTTGATTAAATTATTTTAATTTTAATTATTTTAAGGAATAAAAATTTAAAAATTTTAGATGACACTGATGACTTTGTTGGTCCTTTCTATTTGGGCAATGTATCAACAACAAATGTTTTTTATTTGATTTTAAAGATGATAATATTTGAAGAAATTTTTTGTCTTTAAAAATTTTTTTCAACTCTAATCTTCGTTTTTTATTGATTTTATATAAATATTAATTTATTATAAATTTTTAAAATTTTATAAATTTTCTTGTCTTTTTGCAATTGCTAAAGATATCTGTTAATTTTATTACGGATTTCGTTTTTTTCCGTTTGTTTACTTCAAATAAATTTCTCACATTTAATTCTAAAAAATATTTTCAACCCCAAAATATCTTCATCATGTCAAGCTTCCATTTTTCTTCCAAAGTGCTTAATTTAGTTGATACGAGACCTAAAGCTGATGAATTGAAGGTTTTTCATTTTTATAAAAAAGACATTTAGACTATTTTCTAGGGAGCTGTTAAATTGGATCCAAATTTGAAGGAATATTTACAGTTTGGAGATGAATCAGTAAAGGAATCAATATCAACCCATAATTGCTTGAATTCTACAACTTTTGCAACTTTCAATAGGCAGGTTGTTTATTTTTAAGAATTTTTTTTGTCAAATCTTTCAATTAATTTTTGTCTAGTCATGCAGGGTTGGACACAACCGGTTATTAACCGAGACTCCCGTTTTGAGTTTTATTTAAATATCGGTCTTACATATTTTTGGGATTTTTTAAATCAACATTCTCATAAATTTCCGGCTTTCGGTTTTTAAAATTTCATAAAAACTTAATTTTTAGCAAAAAATATTAAAATTTTTGTTTTAAAACCGACCATGTCCATCCTTATTCCCATGGTTTTATAATTTTTTTAAATTAAAAATAAAAATTTTTTTCTAGGACCAGTCATTGTCCGACTTTATCTCTCAACTTTGCAAACAATTTGGAATAGAACTTGGCTCTTTTAATTCTGGGGACAAGGAACATTTTGGTTTAATGTTTGACGAAAAAATTAATTTTGTGAGTGAACAAAACAAAAATTTGGTTAATCAGGTTTTTGGATTTTTAAAAATTTAATTTTAATTATTTTAAGGGTTTTATTCTTAAATTAACCGCTTCTCCATTAAATTATGCAAAATATTTTTTGAAAAATTTGTCGTCAAAGAATTTGTTGTCAACAGAGAATTTGTCTTTGTTCTCCTCTCTCTGCCAAGATTTTGTGTTTATTGAAGCCTTTACTTGCTTACAGGTTATTTTTGAATGTTTAAAAGGTTGTTTTTGTAAAAGTTGTGTTGTTTTTTTAATTGTTTTTTAGCGAATTTAAATTAAATTAACCGGGTTTGTTGTTCTGTCAACGGAAGAGCATGCCAGGCCTACCCTCCGGAACAGCACAAAAACAGTTTTTCCAGCGAAGATTCAGTTCCTAACATCTCGCTATTTTAATCAAAACCTTTAGAAACTAGTTTCCTGCCCTTTTCTTTCTACTTTTCTCAATTGATTTAATTTCTAGGGTATTCAACGACTTACCAAAATAATCGAGGAAACTGAAAATAGTCAAAGGTTATTTATATTTTTTAATATTTTTTTTTCAAAAAATATTTTCTTAGTTCAACAACCTATTTGGGCCTTTTAACTATTCTTCTTCAATTAATGCAACAATTTCCTCAAATATTTCCTTGGACAGAATTATCTACTCAATTTGTTCGTAAATTTACTTTTTTTGTTAATGGACAGTCAAAATTGGAACAAAATGGGACGAGAGCTTTGGCTTTGGAGATGCTTTTGGCTATTTCTGAACATTGGTTTGGTTTTTTTAAGAAAATTTAAGGGAATTTTCTAGATTTTATTTTCCCTTTATTTTTTGGCAAATTTAGGTTTTGATTTTTCTTTGAAAGAGCTAACATACATAAAACTAAAATTACAATGAAGTCGTGTTTATTGTTACTTTTTTTCTAAACAAAAATTTTTCTATTCACAATTTTTGTGCTAATTATTTAATAAAATTCACATTTAATAGAAATTCTGGTTTAAAACCGATTTTTTGCCTTGATTCTGATTTATTATCTGAAAAGAAAATTTAAATTAATTTCCAAAATCCTTTTTAAAAATTTCAATTTTTCAGTGAACATTTAACTGAATGTCTAAAATCAGAAATGCCTGTAAATTTATTAATTAGACATTTGGACAATACAAACGAAAGGGTGTTGATTAGTTCAATTTCTTTAATTAATTCAATTTATGGTTTGGCTGATCGAGAGGAAAGGATAAATATTGTTAAGGTTTTATTTTAAAGATTTTTTTTGAAATATTTTTTGAAATTTTTTTTGATTGGGGATTCGAAATATTTTGGATCTTTTTTTTTAATTTTGGTTTGCCTTTATCTTCAATTTTTTTATTAAATTTAAAATTTTTTCAATAATTTTTTCGGAAATATTTTTCTCATATTTTGAATTTCTTTTTTAACCTTTAATTAAAGTATTTCTGTTTGAGGAAAATTTAATAAGAAATGAGGAAAATAAAGTCGATCCAAAATTTTGAAAAATAGGAATAATTAAACCAAAAAAATTTTCGAATCGTTTATTCAAATTTTTATTTAATTTTCAACCAAATTAATTTTCAACAAAAATTTAAAGTTATTACACGAAAAACCATTTATTTCTGCAATTGGACGTATTTTGGATAGAGAAGAAAATTTAATTAATCAACAACAATTAAATAAGAAAATTCCAAGTCAACCAATACCCTCACAAATTTCTTCAGAAAAATCAAAACTTTATGAACAAATTGGACGTTTTCAACAAATTAGATTTGATGAGGTTTTTTTTGAAATATTTTTTTAGAAAAATATTTTTAATTTTTAGGTATGTGCTTTGGCTTTGCGAACTCCAACAGACAAAGAAATTGATTTTCTTAAGGTTTGTTTTTAAAAATATTTTTAATTAAAAATTAGTCTTTTTTGGGGTCTTTTTGATTATTTTGAGAAACAAAGGTGAATCGGAAATGACGAATGTGACGGTAATCGGAATTGGCTCAAAAGTCGGCAATCACCTTAAATTTCGGAAATCGGATTCCGATTCACCTCTGTTGAGAAATTGTTATTTTATAATTTTTTTATTTTTTTTTCAATTTAAAAATTGCCCTGTAAAGATGTTACTAAGCGAGACAATAAATTAGTCTCCGATTAGTTATTTGATTTAATTTTTTGTTAAAAATTTTTTAGGGAAGTAAAAGGGGAAATAAATCAGGACTTTCACCAGAAATTTTATTTCAACGACTTTAAACCTTTGAGGTGTTGAAATTGAATTTAATTTTAAATTCATTCAAGACATTTTTAAATAATTTGGCATAATCTCCAAACACTTACTCCAAAACATTTTTTATTTTTCATCTTTTGAACAAAAATTTTAAGAAAATAATTTGTTTCTTTTTTTAATTATTTTATAGGCTCTCGGCAACGAATTTGGATCTTTTGATTCTTCCAATTCAGCAGAAACACCTTCTAATGAATTTTGTGATCAACAAACAATTCAACAAAAAGAGGATTGGTTAATATTTAGAAAATTGGTTTTCTTTAATTTTTTTATTTAAAATTTTTTTAAAAAGGTTCAAAAAACTCCTCCCGGACTTTTATCAATATGTGCAATAATTGAGTATTTTAATTTAATTAAAATTTTATTTAAAATTATTTTTTAGTTTAACACAAGCAAAGGCTTCCTCTTCCAAGGAAAATCAATTAGAAGAAGAATTAATATCTTCAAATTTGGCTTGGAATAAATTAAAAGAGGTATTTTAATTTAATTTTTTTGGGGGTTTATGTTAATAGTTGGGGGTTTTTACTAATTTTGAATGTTATTTTACCAAGGGTATTTTATCTAAAAGCTAGATTTTTTAGGAAAGGGATGGTTTAAAAACTCCGTTAAGCCGTTATTTATTTATAAATATCTGGCAAAAAAATTTTTTTATTTAATGACCGAATAAGTGAAAGGAAAAAAATTAAATCAAATTAGACTACGCTTTTACTTTGACGTTCCATGTGCTTATCTTTTAAGCACGAATAATTATATTTCTTTTAAATTAGCTCCTATTTGCTGTTTTTTAAGTTTTTATTTTTTTGTATAGCTTGTAAATATTCTTTAGAGTTTCTTCATTTAATTTATAAGCAGTTTTAACTAACGGTTTTTTTGTAAAAGAAATTTTTATTTTGGGCTTAGGAATTTTCTTGGATTAATTGCATGATTTTTTGTTCCAAATCTTTGTTACAAGAGGGATTTTTAAATTAAAAAAAATTTTTTTAAATAAAATTTAAAATTCTTTTCAGTTAAATACTCACTTTATTATGAGACCAACAGTTTTACCTCAAATTCTTGTTCATTTGACAGAAATGTTAGTTGAAATTTTGGGGATTTGTAGTGACTCTTCTAGCGGTTAATTTTTATTTTTTTTTAATTTAAAAAATATTTTTTTTAAATTTAAGTTGCTCGACGTTTTGGTCTTTCAAAAGTGCCTCGTTTCTTTCGTTTAGTTCTTCAATTAGAACGGCCTTTCTACGATTTATTTAGAATTCTTGTTGAGCTGTTTTGTAGAACATGGAAGGATATGAATGCAAAGTTTGGAATTTTTTATAAAAATAATTTTTTTTTGTTTATTTGGGAATTAGTATGGGATGAAATGTCTCTTTTTGTTTTTGAGAGTTTTTTTAGATTTAATTTTATTTTTATGGATCCAATAGGTTACCAAAAATAATTTTTCGATTAGTAATTAATTGGTATTCTACTCTATTTATTAAAATACATTGAAAAATTTTAATCTAAATACAGTCTTTTTAAGACAATTTTTGGGCGCTTATTTTTTAGTGAAGATTTCTAATGGTTTTTTAATTAAAAAATTATTTTTTTAATAAATATAAGACTCCTTTGTTCCATGTTAATCCCCAAAATCTATCCAAAAATGTCCTTTTTTATCAAAAAAATTTTTGAAATTTATTTAAAAATTTTTTTTCAAAGATTTGATGAAATTAACAAAGTCTACAATGTCGTCCAAGACCAATTTGAACGTTCACTTTTTGAAAATCCGAATTCATTGGAACAATTAGAAATTGAAATGCTTCGAAAACGATTTTCTTATTTCAACATGCAAAAGGTGAGGGGTTTTTTATTTTAAAATTTATTAGGTTTTCGTCAATCGGACCTCGGTTGTAAAATAAACTTGCTACTAAATAACTTGAGATAATTTTTTTTTGAAATTTTTTGGTTGGTAATTGAATGATTTTTTGGTCGGCAAATCCACGCTACCATTCAGCGAAAATGGTTCAAAATTTTTAATAGAAAGGGTATGATCTACCTGTCTACTACCAAATTTCATTCAGAAGTCCCTCGGACACTCAAAAGGCTCTCCTTTGTTAGTTAAGCGATACCTTTGGTTTAAATTAATCTCATTTTAACATATAAATTCTTCACTTGAGGTGTATTCTTAAAGTGAGGTCTATAACAGGGCTTGGCGAAATCAAAAAATAAAAAGCAACATACAAAACTTGGCGCTGAAAAATGCGAATTAGCTCAGCCCTGGTCTATAACTGTGTAATATTAATCAAAAAAATTTTAAAAAATTAATTATCTCTTTTAAAAATCCTCCAAATTATCATTTCAATATTTCATTACACAATAATAAATTAAAATAACTAACAAAATAAAAATTAATAAAATAATAGATCCAATAATTAACATTTTATGAAAAGATTTATTCTTGTCTTTACATTCATTTATTTTTGTTTTGGTTGTTGGGTTCTGTGTTTTTTGTGTTGTTATTTCGATTATTTGTTTTTCAATTAATTTTTGTTGTTCTAAAATTGTTTTTGAGGGTTGAAAAGGTGGAGGAATTGAAGGGAAGGATTCTATAGTTTTTGGAATTGCTGGAGTTGTTGTTGTTTCTTTATCAAGAGTAATTCCAAGTTTCCTTAATCTTTTTAACGTATTTTGTCTATAATCATCTCCTCTTTTATCTCTAGTAGCAACGACAGTCATTCTCGTTGTTTCTCTATATTTTTGTTCAATTTCTTCTTCTTCATTGTCATAATATTCATAAATTCCATCTTCCATGTCATCTATCCTATCATAACCTTCATACTCACTTGCATCATTTTCTTGATTATATTCTCCTATGCATTTCCTTTAAAAAATTATTTTTTCAATAATTTTCTTTAAAATTTACCCAAAAAATAAAAACAATAAACCCAACAAATAAAATAAATAATATATTTTATTTTTATTTGTAAAGTTTATTATATTTGAAATCATTTGAAGGTTAAAAAAATATTTTTTTAAATTATTTTATAAAAGAAATTTATTTTAAATTTATATAATGTTCTTTATTCAAAATCGAATCATTCACATCTTTAAATAAATTAACAAAAAAGATGATACATTTTAAAAAATAATTAAGGGAAAATGAATGAATAAACAAAGAAGAAAATATGTTTTATTTGAAAAAATTAATTTAAATATAAAATTTGACTGTTTTAAAGAAATATTCGTCAAAATGTATCCAATAACGATTTTTTAAAATTTGGTTTTGGGTGGAGAATGTCTTAAGGCTCCTATCCTATACTTGATTTTTCAGTCCAAAATAAAAATAAGTTCCGATTGTATTTAAAAAAATTTTTTAATTTTAAAATAAAATATATTTTATTTTATTCTGAATTTTTTAAGAATTTTTATTTTTGAAAAAAATAAAAGATTGATTTCTAAATTTAGCTTTGAATCTTCTCAATTTTTATTTTATAGATTTGGAAACGTGAACAACGAGAACAAGAAGAATTGGAATTAAATAGTGAAGATATTCAGTTATTTAAATTAAAAGAAAAAATAATTTTTTAATTATTTTTTCAGACCTCTAAGGGACCATTTACGTCCAGAAATTGAAAATTTAGCTGTTCACCGAAGAATTGCTTTGTTGAAAAAAGGAATGAATTTTCAGCGTGTTTTGCCTTTAAAAACAATTAAAGGTGTTTTTCTCTGTTTATTTAAGTAATTAATGTTTTCTTCAGAGAATCAGACAATTCTTTCTCTCCCTTCTTCTGTTTCTGTTCATAGTTCACCTGTTCATTCTTCTGGTTTATTAAATTCGGTATTTAGATTATTTAAAATAGAGAACAAATTCAGAAAAATAGTATGTAAAACAAGGAGAGAAAAACTTTCTCTAGAAATTTTCAGAATTTGTTTCGAACAAAATCAGAATTTCATACAAACATGTTTTAAACGAAAAATATAAAACACAAAACATTTTGTTTTATTTTCAAAAATAATGTTTTTAAAAACATGTTTGTTGTTCACAACAAATAAAAACATTTCAAAACATACAAACATCTGTTTTTTAAATTAGCAAAACATGTTTATTGTTTAAATAAAACAAATAAAAACATTTCAAACATGCAAACATCTGTTTCTGAAATTAAAAACATATGTTTTTTAAATCAGCCTCAACAACAACAACAATATTGGTTTTGGTGTTTAGATGAAAAAGAAAAGTTTTTTAATGTTTGTGATTCCCATCTAAACAATGGAAAACATTTTGAAATTATTTCTGAAACGAACAAGTTTTTTAAAAATAAAAACAAGTTTATTTAAAACAAGTTTATTTTTCAGAAAATTATTTGTTTCTGAAATTAAAAACATTTTAAATGGACAACAATTAATTTCTCATTTAAATCAACAACAACATGGGGTTGGGAAGTTGTATAAGAAAAGTCAGAATATTTTACGGTGAATTAAAAAAAATTTTTTTTGAAAATAATTTTTTTTGAAAAATTTTTTTTTAATTTTCTTAGTTGTGGCATTTTTATTGAATTTAACAATTCTTCCGAATTTTTACTCTGTGCACAAAGTGAACAAGATTCTGTTGATTGGTTTGAGGCACTAAATTGTTTATGTTGGCCACAAAAATCATTACAAAATAATATTAATATTAAAAAAGAGGTGATTTTGGATTTTTTTTTAATTTTGGAAATGTTAAAAAAAATTTTTTTCAAATTAAAGGTTGATCAATTACTAAATTTACAAATAAATATTCGTTTAATGGATGTACCCAAATTAGAACAAAAATTAAAAATACCACAACTTCCAACAGATTTTAATTGGATTTCTACTTAATATTTAATTTTTAATTTTTTTTTAATTTTTCCCTCAATTTTTTCCTATTTATTTATTTATTTAATATAGCTATTTAATATTCACCCAAAAATTGTTTTGATTTTATTTACTTTTAGCTTCTCGTGAATAATTTAAAAATAAAAAGAGAAGAATTTCCGCTTTTTAAATTGAAATTTTTGGTTATTTAGAGAAAGTAAAAAGTTATTGAAATAAAAAAAATAAAATGGGGAGGATTGAATTTCTAAAATGTTTGAGGAATAATTTTGGAGAGACTCAAATAGACCCAAATGTTTGGTTGTTTTGTTTGAAATGTTTTGTTTGTTTTATTCAAAACAAGTTTTTAAACATGTTTAATGAAAATGTTTGTTGATGTTTATCTAAAACATTTAAACAAGTTTATTTTATAATGTTTTTACAAACATTTAAAAACTTGTTTGAATTTTAAAACTTTGTTTGTACTTTTAATTCAAACAAAAACATGTTTATTTAAATGTTTAGCTTTGTTTATCTAAAACAACATTGAGAATAAGTTATTAAAACATGTTTGTTTTAAAACGTTTTTACAAAATTGTTTTGACAAGTTTTGTTTGAATTTTTAAAACATGTTTTAATATTTTTTAATTTATTTCAAAAACATTTTGTTGGGTAATTAATTTCCAGGCAGATTTTCTCCAGTTTTTTGCCATATTCGGTCCTGCTATTATATGTATATTAAATTAATAAAATTTGATAATTATTTCCTAATTTAAATAATAGCTTAAACTAGCAATTTTTAAAATTTAAATAAAAAAATTATTAAAATCCTAATAATATTCCATTTAAATACATAAATATGAGGAAAAATAAAAACTGGCATTTATCGTCTATTTATTGCCACAACAAGTAAAAATTATAATTTATAAATGTTTCTCTCTCAATTATGTATTTAATAGTCAAGTATTTAAATTAAATTGAATTATTTTTAAATACCAGTTTATGCTTAAGTTGGAAAAAACAAGTTTTGAGTTTTGTTTTGAACAAGTTTATTAAAACATTTGAGAAAGTTTGTTAAAAACATGTTTATCAAAACAAATGTTTAGATTTGTTTGTTCTATTAAAAACAAGTTTATTAAAAACAAGTTTATTAAAACATTTAAGTTGTTTTATTGCCAAACATGTTTTTATTACACAAAACAAGTTTCTGCCAGGTTTATTTAAAACAATAGGTTTATTTTTAAACATGTTTTATTTCCTTTAAAACAAGTTTTATTTCCATTAAAACAAGTTTTATTTCCACTAAAACAAGTTTATTAAAAACAATGCCAACTTGTTTTAATCGTCTCTAAACAAGACCAACTTGTTTTTCTCTCACCATGTTATTTGAGTCTCAGTTGCAATTTTCCAATTTTCTACTAAATTTCAGGATTTTCTTAAAATAGAAAATAATTTTTAAAAAATCTTTGGCCTAAAATTAACAAAAAATTAATTTTCCACCTTTTCTTTTAAAATTCTTTATTTTATTACTAAACAATCCCAATTTTCTTTATTTTTCTTTAATTTCCCAAACACCACCTCACCTCGTTTTGCGCCCACCGGTAGAGAAAAGTAGTCAGAAAATGTGAAGAAAAAAATAAAGAGATGCGGGACAACAAAATTCAATTTGCATAATCCGCCCATTTTACGCCTCTTCCCTTTCTTTTTTTATTCCTCTCACGCCACACTACTTAATACTTAACCAATTTTTTTGTGGACGATGATGGGTTAAAAATGTGTTTGTTGTTGTTGATGGTTTTGGGGAGGAAAAAAAGGGAAGGTAGGGGGGGGGGGAATTTAGTGTGGATTGAAAGGGAGGGGAAGAAGGATTGCTGTGTTGGCAGCTGACCCTAACCCCCTTCTTCCTCTTCCCCTCTTCTCCTCATCAAACCCCATTTATGGATGGCGTCAGAAGGAGGTGAAGGAATGCCGCTGCCTGTAGGAAAAAAAAATAAAATGGTAGTATCAGTCAATTTTGTGTCTTTTTTGGCCATTTTCTGTCCCCTCTTAAACCTCTCTAATAGTAATCCTTTTATTTTACCAATCAATGTTGTCTATTCAATTACTGGGATCAAAAAATTTTTAACTAAAAATAGAGGAGATTGATATAAATAATTTAGAAATTTGTGAAGGAGAGGACATTGAAATAAGGAAAATTTGGAAATCTTATAATAAATCCCAAATCTTATAATAAATTAATTTATAGAATTTTAGAAAATTTAAAAATAAAACTAAAATGCTTGGTTAACTTCTTATTTTATTAAACTCCGCCCCTTTTTTAATGTTTTAAGTTTTGTTCTTTAATTAACAACATTGTTTTTTCTCTCACCTTTGTTTGTGTTTGTTAAAACAACAAACAAATGTTTATCTAAACAAGCTCCGCCCCTTTTTAATGTTTTAAGTTTTGTTCTTTAATTAACAATATTGTTTTTCTTTCTCTAACCTTTGTTTGCCTTTGTTTGTGTTTCTCTAAAAACAACAAACAAATGTTTATCTAAACAAAGTTTTAATAAATGTTTCCCAACTTTTATTTTAAAACAAAAGAGAAATGTTTTTGTTTTGTATATTATTTTTCATCTTTTCTTTCTCTTTTCTAGACTCCGCCCACTTTTATTTTATATCCCGAACAAACCGTTATTGGGCTCTTCTTCATTGCATCAACTGCCAGTAGTGGAGGGGACATTTTCGTTAATATTTTGCTCTGAAGCAACAAATAAAAAAAATATTTTTTATTTTTTTTTTTATTTAAGGAATATTATTTTCTAAAATGAAAAAAATTTATTTGCCCTTTTAAAAAATTTTTAAAAATTAAAAAAAATAAAATTAGGGGGAAATAACGGCCTAAAATTATATAAAAATTCATTAAAATAATTTTTAACTAAATTTAGAAAAATAAAAACTTAAATAAATGAATGAAAAGCTTTTTGGAAGAATGTGACTTTGTGAAGGAAAAAAAAGAAAAACAAGGTCCCGCCCCTTTTTTCGACTAAAACCCAATTTGAATACATTCATATGCGCATATTCATTTTGCCCAAATTTATTTTCCCTCCCTTTATTTTGCCAAAAAATTTAAATGTTTTTTATTATTCAGTAGAGACCCTCTCTCACTCCTCTATATTTTTAATCTATTCTTTTCTCTAATTTAGCAAAACACATGCAAATCACTGCCGGCAGCCAAACATGAATAATAATAAAAATGCTAACAATGGAAAAGAAGTGGGCGGGGCTAAAACAAGTTTGACAAACATACAAGCAAATATTCAGAATACAACAAACATTCCAACAAACATTAACATTCCAACGAACATCCAGACAAACATTCCAACAAACATCCAAACAAACATCCAAACATTAAAAACATTTCCAACTTTGTCAACAACAACAACAACTTTTCCACAAACATTTCCTTCAATTCCAGTTATCCAACAAACAACAAACACACAAACTTTACCAACTTGTTTAGATTATCAAAAACATGAACAACAACAAGAATTACAACAAGTCAAACACGAATTGTTTAGTTCGGAAAGAAATGTTGTTAACAACAATAACATAACTTCTCTAACTTCAATAGACTACAACACAACATTGGTTAGACATACAGACCCCTCCTCTTCTCAAACAAACACTCAAACACCTGTAATTATACGTTGTCCTACAAATGATAATAATGATAACAATATTTATTCCAATCAATTAAATTCTTTTGATTATTTTAATCATCAATGGATGCCCCATATAGGGATTTGCCCTTCTATGGCAGAAATGACTGGTGAAAACATCGAAAATAATAATGGGGCTATTAGAGCTTTGCAGCAACAACAATTACCTCAACATGCTATAGAAGCAATCCAGGCAATTTTAATTTAAATTTTAAAAATTTAAAAAATTTTAAAGTCTTCCCCTCCTTATTGGTGGTTAGATCCCCAACAACAAATGGCAGCGGCAGCAGTCTCCCATCCTCACCAACCTTTTCTTTTTGCAACGGAATGGGCAACTAATCCAAGTTGTAGCAACAACGACCCTGCCTATCAGGCAGCTGTTTCTGCCTATCAAGCAGCGGCACAATTAATTTCTAACCCAAACGAGCTAGAAAATCCTTACCAATCTGCCTTTGGGGGAATTAATATTCTACAACAGCCCCCAACTTTAATTAACCAATTCCCCTTCTCTAATGAAGAACAATTACAACAATGGGCGGATGGTTTACAATTTAATAATAATTTTCCTTTTGTTGGACAAGGCGTTATTTCTAGTTATAATAGTAATGGGTCAGACAATATACAACTGTCTAGAACAAACACAGAACTTAATGAAACACAAGTAATGTTTTTATAAATGTTTTAATTAAACTTGTTTTTAATAAAATACATGTTTTCTATTAAAACTTGTTTTTAAATAAACTTGTTCCTCGAAAACTTGTTTTAATTAAACTTGTTGTAAATACGCTTGTTTTAATTAAACTTGTTTTAAATAAGCTTGTTTTTAAATAAACTTTTTTTAAGTTCGTTTTTAAGACTATTTTAAAAAGAAACAAGTTTTACAAAACTTGTTTTATTTATTAAAACTTGTTTTGGTAAAAACAACATTTCTTTAATCAAAACATGTTTTTTCATGTTTTGTTCATTTTACAGTTTCAAGTTTATTTTAAACATTTTTCTTTTCCAGCCTTATACTCAACAACAACAACAACATCAATTACCAACACAAATAATAGCCCCACCTCACCTTTCTTCTTCCTCCTCCCCTTCTCCATTTCTCACAACTACACCCTCAACTGTGATCGTAGAACGTAATGAAGCTTTAAAATTGCAACAAGCAATAATTAAAAGTTCTTCCTCCAATCCTTCCTCTATTAATTCCTCAACATTTGTGTCAACTTATTCAAATACCCCAACAATTACTGTCGAGACATCCAGCCAGTTTGGACTTCAACCAATAACGGGTGAGAGACTATTAAATCATCTTTTTCCCACCACATTTTCTTGGGGGATAGAGGGCTGGAAAAGTGTGAGGGAAATGTTTGCCCTTTACATAATAAAACAAGTTTTAAAAAACTTGTTTTAAATAAACTTTAAATAAACTTGTTTTAAACAAACTTGTTTTTAAAAACATTTTTATAAACATGTTTTAAATAAATATTAATAAACATAAACTTGTTTTAAACAAACTTGTTTCGATAAAAACAAGTTTTGTTTTAAAATAAAATAAATAAACTTGTTTTCTGAACAAAACAAACTTATTCTAAAACATCCCTAAACATCCTAAAACAGGTTTCAATGTTGCGACAAACTTTTTTTATTAAAAATGTTTTTATTAAAAATGTTTGTTAAAATGTTTTAATCGTTTTCATTAAAACAGATGAACAACAACAACAACAAACATCCTCTTCTTCCTCAACTTTATCAATACCAAATTCTTCTACAACACCAAATGAAAGGGCACCTGATGAAAATAAAATACAAAAACAAAAAGAAAATAGAGAAGAAGAGGATATTATTCAGCAGCAACAACAAATAAATAATCGAATTATAGGGTTTAGCCCTTTAAATAATAATGGGGAATTGGGGCCAGATGAACAATTTCCTTCTGAAGAGGTTGGAAATTGATTGAAAATTGATAAAAATTCAGAAAAAAAAATAATTTTTTAATTTAAAAGTTAACACAATATTTGGATGGATTTGCTAAATTATTTAAACAAAAAAGAATAAAAATGGGGTATACACAAGCAGATGTTGGGCAACAATTAGGTGACAAACATTGTTTTTAATAAAAATAATTAAAACAAAAATTAGGTACTTATTATGGGCAGGTTTTTTCTCAAACAACAATATGTCGGTTCGAAGCATTGTAAGTTTGGAAAACTTATTTTTAATAGAGAATTTGTTTATTTGAGCATGTTTTTATGAATTTTGTTTATAAATAAAACTTGTTTTTAACAAAACTTGTTTTAAATAAACTTGTTTTAATAAACTTGTTTTTCGAAAACATGTTTTACTCTGTTGTTTTAAATAAACTTTGATGAAACCTGTTTTAAAACAAGTTTCTCAAGAACTTGTTTCTGAGAAACTTGTTTTAAATAAACTTGTTTTACTAAAAATAAACTTGTTTCTTTTTCTACAACAAACATTTTAAGGCAGTTATCGGTCAAAAACATGTGTAAACTCCGCCCATTGTTACAAAACTGGTTGGAAAGGGCTTCTGATTTAGGACCGCCAGAATATGCAGGTGGAGGGTGTAGTTATGATTACGATTCCAAGCCTTCAACTTCCTTCGGTGTTAGTGGGGGAGGTGCAAATCCTCCTTCCTCCTCATCAGGTTCTTCTTCTTCTTCTAGAAGAAGGAAGAAACGAACATCTATCGAAACTCACATAAAAACACGTTTGGAACATTTCTTTCAACAGGTACAAAGACAGGTTGGGGTAAATAAATCTTTAATTTTATTTAAAAAATAAATTTAATTTTTATTTAAAGGGAGCAAAGCCTAGTGCGCAAGAAATTTCTGATATTGCCTCTCAAATGAATTTAGAGAAAGAGGTTGTTCGTGTTTGGTTTTGTAATAGGCGGCAGAAAGAGAAGAGAATGACTCCACAACAACAAGTAAAAATAGAGTCAGAAAAACATGTTTTTTATGTTTTTATAGATGTTTGATGACGATTCAGAATCTAGCAGCAACAACAATCCAATTACAACAACATTACCTTTAAACAATCAAAACATTGATATAAACAATCCAAACAATTATTTACAACATTATATGATTCAACAACAACAAAGTTTTAATAACAACACTCAACAACAACAAATACTTGTTTTAGAAGCAGAAGATGAAAACAACATTAATTTAAGAAAGAATGAAGCAAACACAACAACAAACACAACAAATTGTTTGCCTTCCCAACAAACATTTGAAAACTTACAACAACAAACACCAAACAACAACTTTTTCTTTTAGGAAAATAAACTTGTTTTTCTCAAAGTTTATTTTCCAACTTGTTTTATTTCAACTTGTTTATTTTAAAGTTTATTTTCCAACTTGTTTTTCTTTGTTTTATTTCAACTTGTTTATTTTAAAGTTTATTTTCCAACTTGTTTTTCTTTGTTTTATTTCAACTTGTTTATTTTAAAGTTTATTTTCCAACATGTTTATTTCAACTTGTTTTCCTCTTTTTCTCTACCTATTTTATTAACAATATTTTACCGGTTTATATTTCTATACTCATGCATATTATTTAATATATTCCAATTAAAACGAGAATATTCGCAATAAGTTATATTAAAATGTTTTATTGTTTTGTAAATAATTGCTTGTTTATTTCAACATGTTTCTTAAATTGTTTATATAAACAAAAACGAGCTTTCCTTTGAATGAAATAAAGTTTTAGCGCAAAAACATTTATTTATTGTTTAAGTTATACAGCTGTTTTAATATTAATAATTTTATCTTAAACTTAAATCTCTTTTATACTAACAAAAATATTGGGTACGTTAGAAAATAGAGGGGTCTTTTTCCAAAAAATACTTTTTTGTTAAAAATTTGGAAAAAATTATTTTTTATTTTATTAAGAAAAAAATAAAACATTTTCCTTCATTGCCACAGTATACCTATAAATAGAGAGAAGGATAAATTTTTCTTGACAGAAAATTTATAAAAAATCAAAAAAATTTTTTTATAAATTTTTTATTTTCTTATTAACTTAATTAATTTAAAAATTAGTTATTCTAAAAGTCCAAATCTTTAGAAAAAAAATTTTCTAATTTCAAAATTAAAAATTCATTTAATCAACAAACAAATAATTTTAAAATTATTTTTTAAATTATTTTTAATTAAATTTAAAATAACAAGTTTACATATTTTGGTTATTATTTATATGTATTGATAATCACTTGCTGCCAAAATAATTTTTTATTTTTCTCTTTTTATCTCCCCGCATGATCGGATTAATAACATTCATTATTTAGTTGGGGAAAGTAAGTGTTAGAGTATTTCTCTCTCTTTTGTCTTCCCTTCAAAAATTAAAAAAAAGATTAAAAATATATTTGTGGCTATGAGAAGAATTGAAAAAAATTTTCTTTTATTGTTTCAAATATTTGAAGAGAAGGTCAAGAAAAGGAAAGAAAATGGAGGAAAAATTTCGAGAAAAACGGTCAAGAGGCGATTTACTGTTAAAAACATGAAAGAATTTCTAATTCATTTTTGTAACGTCCTTGAAGGGTTTGGAAAAAATTTTTTAAAACGAAATGGGATATTTCAAAGAAAATTTTTGAAAAATAAAACGAAATTATTTTTAAAAATTTTAATTTTGATTAAAAAATTAGAAAACTCATTATTTTCGCATGGGATATTTTTCAGAAAAATTTTAATTTAATTAAAAAAAATTTAAAAAAAAATTTTTTTTTAATTTTTTAGCAAAATTTTTTTTAATTTATTTCCAGACAAAAAAATAAAATAAAGAGGAAGTTTAAAAAATAAATTTAAATTTCACAAAAAGAAAGAGGTGTTGGAAAATTTTTTTAAACAATTTAAAAAGTAAAGTTTTTGAATTTTCAAAAATTCTCTTTCTTTTTTTTTTAAATCTTCCACAAAATACGTAAACACCAAAAATAAATTTCAAATGAAAACTAAATATCATTTTTTAATAGTCAAACATCAAAATAATTTTTAAAAAATTAAAAAAAATTTTTTTTCAAAAAATAAATGTTCCCTTTACACTAGGGTATAGGCTGGAAAGAACATGTTCGCCTTTATTTAGTTTATCCTCAACAAAAATTTTTTTTTAATTTTTAAATTTAAATTTAAATACTCTCCTCCTTTTTCAATACAAAAATAATTTCCTCTTCTCCTACCCTTTCTTCAAGAATGCCCAACATTTTCAAAAGAAGCATAACGAATAGGTTCTTGTCCACTTGTAGCATTCTCCCTCTTCTCTAATTGTTCCAATTCCCATTTACGGTGTTGCAAAAATGAAAAACGTTTTTGTAAATTTTTTTCTCGAATTTCTTGTTCTTTTAACTAAAAAAATTTAAAGAAATTTAAATTCAATATTTTTTTCAAAAAAAATTTTTTTGGGATATTTTGTCCATTTTTGAAAAAAATATTTATTAAATAAAAAATTCGTCTTTTTTTTATTTTATATTTAGAAAAAATTTTCTTCAAAGGAAACTTAAAATTAAAAAAAAATTTTTTTTTAATTAAGACAAAATTCTTTACCAAAAAACTTTCGATTCTCTAATGACCCAAAAATTAAATTTTAAAAAATAAAATTAATTTTCCCATAAATTAATTATTTTCTCACACTTTTTAAAACAAAAAAAGAATTTAATACGTAACATAAAATCCCCTTTCCTTCTTTTATATAATTAGCATTTACCGAAACAATTTTTTCAAGTAATTAAAGAGGAAAAGGGAAGCCTTTTATTTTTGTAAGATAAATTGAGTAATTATGAGAAAATTAATTTTAAAAATGAGAAAATATTTCAAATTTTCAATCAAAACCTCCATATAAAATACCCCTCAAAATTAAATACACACCTCTATTTAAGAAACGATTTTTTAATTTTGGATAGCGGCTATTGGGTGGGAGAAGGGCTGCCTAAAGCAAAGTCTCCTATTTAAGGGATAACTTATTACAAGATATAAATTTCAACCCCAAAGAGGTAGGTGAGGTCCTGCTGTATTCCTGCTTTTAAATTTTCAAAAAAAATTTTTTTTGAAAATTTCTACTTTTAATTTTTCAAAAAAAATTTTTTTAATTTTCTGAAAATTTTTTTTAATTTTCCAAAATTTTTCAAGACAAAATATCCTAACATTTTTTCACTCAAAAAAAATTCCCCCACCTCCGCAGTCAAAGAATTAATTCTTTTAACAATCGCCTTCTGTTCGTTCTGTTCCAACCTTTTAAACGTTTTTAATTCCAAAAGTGCAGTTTCTCGTTGTTTAGCCAATTCTTGAAGTTTGGCTGTTAAAGACGACTCTATACTCTTTAAAATAAATTTTAAATAATTTTCTTTCTCCAATTCCTTACCATATATCCCCCAAGCTTTAAACGAACTTTCTTTTCCAATTTTTGCATTTTTGTTGCTTGTGAAGTCATCCAACCAAAAAGAACCTGAGAAAAATTAAAAGGAATTTTTCTTTTCTCGTTTTTTAAAATTTTTAAATTGAATGGATATCCAAAAAAAATTTTTTTTAATTAGAGAAAGAATGAGAGATTTTACAAAGAATTAAAATTAAAGAATTAAATAGGTATCGATAGGTATTTTTAGATGTAAAATAAATAAAGAAAAAATAGAAAGAAACCTGAAAATTAAAGGAATTGTTTTTTTTCTAGATTTTTAAGAGAATTTATAAATTGAAAAGATAGTAAATATTTAAAATAAAATTTTTAGTAACATGGAAAAATATGAGATAATAAAGTGGTTTACTAACAGAATTGCATCTTAACTAAAAAATTATTAAAATTCAAAAATTCTAAATTGAAAAGGAAAAAGGCTAAAAAATAAAGATTTCAAAGCATTTCAGAGCCCTAGCCAATAATAGAGTTATTTAAAAACTTATCTTGGAGATCTATAAATTCTAAAATAAAATATCAAAAAATAGAATAGAAATTTTATTTTTTAATAGAAGAGACAGATTAGAAGAAAAGTATTGATATTGATACTTAAAATAATCAAAAAAAAGAATAGTAAAAAGATAAAAAATCTGGGAGTTCTTTAATTCCAATATCCCCCTCCCTTTTTAAAAACAAACAATTTTTAATTTTTATATTTCTTTTAAATCCCAAAAATATAGGTATAATATTTATTTATTTACTTTTCTTAATTTTCCTTTTTAATTTCCCGCATTTTTCCTCCCTTTTTAATTTTTATTTATTTAACAAATACACTGAAAAATAGGGCTAAAAACAAATTGGTAGTGGGGTGGCTATTTGACTCTTTTCTCCCCCCCCTCTTTTCCTTTCCTTCAACTTATTGGATGACTCAAGAAAGTCCCAAAAATCTCTTTTGGGAATATATTCTTCTTCTCTTAAATTTATTTTTAAAAGGCTTCCAATATTTTAAATATGGCCACTCTCCAATAAAAAAATTTTATTTCAAGGAAGGCGTTGAAAGAAGCCTTCTCTTTCATTTATTTTCCAGGCTAATAAACCCAATTATAATTTTACTTAATTTTAAGGCATTTCTTTTTTTGTCCTTTTAAATAAGGATAAAAGAGAAGCAAATAGGGAATTGGTGGGTAGAAGGAAAGGGTTTTTAAAGTCAACTGCCAAAAATGCATTAGAAAAAAAAAAGACAAATAATAATGAGAGAGAAGGGAGGATTGGACTAATAAAAATAAAAAATATTTTTGTTTGAAAATAAAATACAAAAAAAAATAAAAAATAGCTTTGATGACAGATAATAACCGATCATGAAGAAGAGAGATAAAAAGTTTAGAAAAATTAACTAAAGAAATTTTTCATTCAATTTCTTGAATTTTAAAGGAAAAAAGCTAAATCTATGTCCTAACTGAAACCCGAAAAAGCCCAGATATTCCAAAAAAAATTTGGTTCGGATATCTGGAGAATTCTCAGATCCGTAAACCACAGTATAGATTTTAGAAAACTAAAAATATTTTCAAAATTATTCTAGATCTTCCAAGGGAAAATAATTTTAGACTACTCTATAGATCACTTCATAAATAATTTAAAAAACCAAAAAAAAATTCCCAGACACCCCTTCCAGAGAAAAATAAATTTTTTTAGACTATTCTTGTCCCCTCCATAAATACTTTAACCCCCCCCCCCAAATTCCCTTTTAAAAATATTTTTTAATTAAAAAAATCTTTCTTTTTTCACCTTAAACCGTTCAGACAAAACTTCCAATTGGTCTCTCTTTGACAAATTAGAAAGTCTAGTAAATCTATTTTGAAATTTGACCAATTCACCAAAGCAATTAGCAACAACTTGCCACATT